ATGGGTGAAGGTGGTGGGACAGGATGTGGTACATGGAATGGGTGAAGGTAGTGGGACAGGATGTGGTACATGGAATGGGTGAAGGTGGTTGGACAGGATGTGGTACATGGAATGGGTGAAGGTGGTGGGGCAGGTAGTGGGGCAGGATGTGGTACATGGAATGGCTGAAGGTAGTGGGGCAAGATGTGGTACATGGAATGGGTGAAGGTGGTGGGACAGGATGTGGTACATGGAATGGGTGAAGGTGGTGGGGCAGGTAGTGGGGCAGAATGTGGTACACTGAATGGGTGAAGGTAGTGGGGCAAGATGTGGTATATGGAATGGGTGAAGGTGGTGGGACAGGATGTGGTACATGGAATGGGTGAAGGTAGTGGGACAGGATGTGGTACATGGAATGGGTGAAGGTGGTTGGACAGGATGTGGTACATGGAATAGGTGAAGGTGGTGGGGCAGGTAGTGGGGCAGGATGTGGTACATGGAATGGGTGAAGGTGGTGGGACAGGATGTGGTACATGGAATGGGTGAAGGTAGTGGGACAGGATGTGGTACATGGAATGGGTGAAGGTGGTTGGACAGGATGTGGTACATGGAATGGGTGAAGGTGGTGGGGCAGGTAGTGGGGCAGGATGTGGTACATGGAATGGCTGAAGGTAGTGGGGCAAGATGTGGTACATGGAATGGGTGAAGGTGGTGGGACAGGATGTGGTACATGGAATGGGTGAAGGTGGTGGGGCAGGTAGTGGGGCAGGATGTGGTACATGGAATGGGTGAAGGTAGTGGGGCAAGATGTGGTATATGGAATGGGTGAAGGTGGTGGGACAGGATGTGGTACATGGAATGGGTGAAGGTAGTGGTGCAGGATGTGGTACATGGAATGGGTGAAGGTGGTTGGACAGGATGTGGTACATGGAATAGGTGAAGGTGGTGGGGCAGGTAGTGGGGCAGGATGTGGTACATAGAATGGGTGAAGGTAGTGGGGCAAGATGTGGTACATGGAATGGATGAAGGTGGTGGGGCAGGTAGTGGGGCAGGATGTGGTACATGGAATGGGTGAAGGTGGTGGGGCAGGTAGTGGGGCAGGATGTGGTACATGGAATGGGTGAAGGTGGTGGGGCAGGTAGTGGGACAGGATGTGGTACATGGAATGGGTGAAGGTAGTGGGGCAAGATGTGGTACATGGAATGGATGAAAGTGGTGGGGCAGGTAGTGGGGCAGGATGTGGTACATAGAATGGGTGAAGGTGGTGGGGCAGGTAGTGGGGCAGGATGTGGTACATCGAATGGGTGAAGGTGGTGGGGCAGGTAGTGGGGCAAGATATAGCAGTGGGGCTAGTAATGGGGTCAGGAGTGGTGATCAAAACAGCAGTATTAGAATCTGTACCAAACTGAGTATGTCAGCTACCTTGACAAGTAACTGTGTGCACACAAAGGTGACACTACACTTATCTATACAGTAGAGACGATAATAGAATTACTACATTTACTTATCTTCATCATTAAATATCACATTGCGTTCTCTTCAATAAACCATTAATATTGCACATGTCCAAATTTTGCATATTCCTAATGTGTACAATCACACCACTAACTACCAACTGACATGCACAGTAAGATTATGTGTCATAAAATCTGATATGAAGGCAATTATGATATTCAAATCAACTTTGATATCAAAAGACATATTCATAGGTATTAATCATAAATGTGAATTAATCATTATTTATCCTGAAAGTATAAACTTTACTATTCTAAATTATTCCAAAATAAATATGATATTAGTTGAAATATATAATGAATATTACATGTTAAAAGTACTCGCATAATGTTATTGTCACTGTAAAACTTCTTGCAAATTAAATAAAACAGTTACAATAAAAGATCATTATATTTCAGCAAATCAAAAACATGAATAGTGATGAGTGCTAATAGCATGAATTTTCTATATATTGTGACATATTTCTTTTCCAATCTCATGATTTGCTCAAATTCCTCATAACACCCCAGATGGTCCCATCATAAAACTATCTATCTCTGACATCATTTCAGTAGAACTATTTACTTTCAACAATTACTGTACATCTCATAAGTTTGGCAAGGTTCATTAGGATTCTCTCTATCTTCTTTGTTATAAATATTCATGGAAAATTAATCTGAAGTTACAAATATATATTAGAGTATAATTACAAAGCAAATATAAACCAAATTTGTAAAATTGTTTGTATTATATTCAGAGAGCATGACTAGTTCTCTCCTATACCCGTCCCTGAGCTTTAAGGTCAAGGCCTGTGCATCATAGGAAGAGTGGACACAAGGCAAACAAAATTAATTCCACAGTTTTGCAAACTTCTGAACTTTCACATCACTATATATACTTTACACTTATTACATTCCCAATCTGCTTCTTTGTAACCTAACAGAGGCAAAAATAATATTCCTGTTCTTGGAGCAAAATGTAGTTACTTCTGAGGGCAAAAAGTGGTTGATTACAAGAAAAACTATTAACACACATGATAAGTTGTGAAAACGTTTTCTACTACTGACAGTATAACATCAAACCTTGAAAAGACATACACCTTATATATGATGTAGCATTAAGCTGTTTTTCTAGTGAGTTCTACCTAGATGTGCTTTTACAGTAAATTTCAACAGTTTGCTAATGTCAAAGTAATATATCCATTTATCTCAATGCTGACAGCTGTTTACCCTCATGTCAATAGCAGAATTTACATGAGAATTATTTCCAATCCTTCGTGATCTGCTTTTCAAATATAATCAATCACTGAAAAGGAATTCTATACAAATCAGAATTCAATGTATCCAGAGACTTGTACTTATCAAAGCTAGCAGGAGTTGAAGTACAGACAGATGAGTGGTATGAACATGCATGGCGTTTTATATTAAATAAATCAGACTTAGCGTATTTGCATTACAGAGTATGCAATACAAAGTTGTTATCTATCAAGCAGTTCAGAAAGTGGAATGAATTAGTTTTGAATAAAACATTTAAAGCAGATAGGTTTGAATAATATTATGTCTAATATTGTATAAAGTGATAGAAAACCAGATCAACTTTCACTATCAAAACCAGGCTATTTTTCTCTTAAATTACAGAAAAATAAATTATTCATTCTTGATACTATCATAAATCAAAACTACTGCCACATTTGAAATTGGAAATGCTTTTAGATGATGGATTTTCGGTGAAATATGACCATAATTTCAAACACCAGAAATATCAAATACTTTCAAAAACTAGGAATCCCTTCTTAAAGTTGAAACAAAGAAATTTATTCCAAACATATTCTCAAATTCATGAACACATTTGTATTTCCATGATTATCGACAAAAAGAAGCAGATGATTTGTTAAAAAAAATTATGATGTTTGAAAGTGAACCGAAATTGACATTACAATAGTTGCTTTTTCAATAACTTCAAAAAGGTATACAAGTTTCTACTATCAAACACACTGGCATATTTAAAGACCACTTGCTGTAAGTTAGACATTATTCAATGATCATATCTTCAGGGACAAGTTCTTCAAAACAAATTTGATATGAACCTGTAATTAAGAATGAAAAATAGCTGTAATCATGTACAAAGTTTGACTCAAGTTACAATGTTTTGTCCAGAGCAAAGAAAACTGTGAACCCCTGTAACTTAACAAGAAGAACTAGGCACCATGAACAAAAAGAAATTTGAGAAAGGTTAATCTAATTTAAATCTATTTCTATGTCACAGTGACCTCAGTATTGTTACTTGCAAAAACACTGAAGTCATATGATCCCATGCGTTTCACAATGACAGAAAATGATACGTATCCAATATCATAATCTCATTGCAATTGCTTGAGTCTGGGAGATTGATTATAAAACCATTCAAGTCATACTCATATGAATAGCAGTATGCTTCATAGATTATTAATCAATTTGCACACAGTAATAAGTTTTAATAATACGTTAGTGGCAATATCTAAGTAACCTATCTTTACCCTTCATGTTCAAGGATTTAAACTGACATCACAAATCAAATCCAAGAGTAATCAGATACCAAAATCATTGTCCAAAATTATTTTGTGAGTGTGTTTTTCAAGAAATTTGAAGATATGCTTTTTAAAAAAGGCTTGATATAAATTTCTCCTGCTTGATATATAATTCATTCCTTCTATCAATGACAGCTCAATAGGTGTTCAGTTAATGAGATTTATTGCAGCAGTTTCAGTTTGAGCATCTTGAATTAGTAGAAGTCGGAGAAGGTGAAGAGGTTTCACGGTATGTTATTCTTAAATCTCACACTATCAATTCCATATATAAGGGCTGTTGTTGCCATATCACCTTTTTTCATTTCACAAAAAGTGTGTTTTGAACTTGAAAAGACTTCAACATGTGCAAAAATTGGCAAAGAGAAAGGGAGCATGAATATTTATCATTGTTTGATTTCTGTTGTGCCAAAAGATTATAGTCTGGTAAATTCTATTTTAGCTACAGCTTCAGCTTATCTTACAATCATGCTTTGCAAAGTTCTAAGAGAGTAGATGCTTCTACACAATCTACATGATCTAGATAAATCCATTGCCTGGATCTGTACACCATTATGGCACACAAAACAACTATTTTAACAGTTGCAGAACTATTCTACCGACCTGGGCCCAAGGCCAGTCAGTATGTATTTTCAGCTAGCCTAGTGCTATTCTGATGCTGATTGTACTTATTACTTAGTTGTTATTGAAAATAAACATAAGTAGTTATGCCTGCATGAAAGAAATATTTCCACCATGTTTGTGAGATTAATCTGAAGATTGCTGTCTTGGGGGCTTGTGGAGACAAGTATTAAAGATCCAGTTTTTGAGATTATAACCATATTTGAGATGGAACAATTTATTTCTATCCATCAGCCATATTTCCCATGGAATTGTATGTAAAAATGCAACCTCCAATTCGTGGAGACCAGATGGTGGTACTGATCGGCAACAGGGTGTAGCAAGACATTACTATCAAAATTACCTTCTTGCCACTTCTTTTTGCCTTCTTAGCCTTTTTTTCTCCACTGTTTCTATGTTGACTTTTGGTGGCAAACTCATCAGACTGTGTTGAATCCGCCACCATTTTGGCAGCACTCATTCTAATTTCTCACTTGGTTCACTGTCTTTTGTCATCTGAAACAGATAAAAGGCTAATGTCAACAGAAGGGCAAACATTTATCACTCATCTTTTCTAACTGGTAAAGCAGGGGTACAAATATTTTGTCTTCATTCTCCCTCATCATTACAAATCTTAACATGAACATTTTATTCATCCCTTCTTATTAATAACATCAAGAGAACAAATAGGTGTCAAATGTTCTAAATTATTGATCTAATATAGAAAACGTAAGGATGAATCTTCCTTCTTCATTGGTCTAATCGGGGAAACAAATGTGTCAGTAAACTTTCTCGTTGACAACAAAAAATGTCAGTCATACTTCCCAAATGAACTACTTAAATTAGGGAAACATGAAACTGTCACTCCTACTTCCTCAATGGTCTATCAAAAAAATCCAAATGGATCAATCTTACTTCTTCACAGATCTAATCAAGAACAACTTTCCACCCTTTAAGGCAGCACTAAGGGTTGTGCAAAGCTATAAAAATGAGTTGTCAGTGTCCACTGTTGGTGGGTTTGATTCCAAGATCTGCCCCATTTATATCAGGACTGCATGTTTTCTAAGTCCCTTTGTCATTTAGCCTTTGGGCTTAAAACAGGAAAAATAAAATGCTTTTAAGCCCATGGGCTTAAATTAAATTGTAACATTGATTGATCTCCCTTACCGGATGTTCTTCAACAAGTGTTGTCGCACACTTCTATGTAGCCAATTTGAACCATTTGAATTAAGTATGACATTTTAAATGCATAGGGCAGACACGCATAACTGCGATGTTGGTTTGTTGTTAATTTTTTTCAAAGCTGTCATTTCAGTTTTGAACATGTTCTTGGCTCATCAATTTCAAGTTGAAAAAGATGAGTATGTCTTACGTTGAGGTGTTGCTCTCTCATTCCATTTCATGTATTGTTTCATTAAACTTGGGATATTCTTTTTTCTATCTTGCTTTTGTCCTTTTTCGTTTTTAAGCCCTTGGCTTAAATAAGCAAAATCTGTAATTGAGCCCAGGGCTTAGAAACTAAGTTTCGGAAGTGAACATATGTCACATTGAACTTCACTCATGTGATGTGACAGATATGCTATAAAAGGCTTAATTAAACCCCAAATAACTTGATTACGGTACTCCCTTCTCACAGGTAAAACAAGGAACACACAACTAGCAATCATCCTTCCTCAGTATAATAATGTATTAGTAATACCAAGGGTATACATGATTATTTAGCATTCTTCCTGACTGGAAACAACACTTAACTCAACTTGACTTTCTTAATAATGATCTGGATAACAATCTCTATGTGCCAATGTTCAATCTAATATAAACTCAGAATACTTTTGGACCAGCACTGGACTAAGGAAGGATTTTTTTGTTGGGGAATTTTGCAAACTTTGTCATTTTCAGAAACAAAGTATTATATTGATGTATTAGTGACAACATATGTACTATTTTTTATTATTTCTTTTCAGTTTTTAAGCTTCAGACCTGTTGAAAGTGATTAGCTCTGTGTTTGTGGGTTATGTTGTGAAAATAAAATTCTCAGTAATGTGTTATGTTGTTATGACCAGATCAGCACATATAGTAAAAGGAAGTAAGGCAATGTGTAATCTATGTGTATTTCCCATTTTTGATACAATAAACTTCAATAAATTCAAGCATATATTTGAAGAGAATGTATAGTTCGTCATATCTTCCTGAATATTGAGATATTTATACCATGTGGGTGACAGTTAATATTGCAGAGTTTACATGGCATCCCAATCTAATCATGATACATGCCATGCAACAACCTCAATTACAGTTTCATGAAAACTGATGAGTTAATCCAAATACACAAAAAAGAGCTGACACCTTATTCCATGAACCAAACTTAAGACACCAGTAATGGCTCCCTTCAAGAGTTATAGGATAATTTTTTTAAATATAATTCACTTTAAAAACATGATGATTTTCACTTAGGAATCAGCCAATACAGCAAACATACAAATCAAAGCAATCAATTTTTAGGAAAGTGCTATTTGGATATTTTAATACTGACACTAAATATGTAATAAAACAAACAGTGTCAGAGAATTTAGTCATTCAAATTTTTACAGAACTCAGTGGTATCTCATTAATCTTCTACTCAATCATTTGTTTCCTACATATTTGAACAAAATGCAATCCAGTTTATGATAATCTAGTGAAAGACTGAAGTATACATCCCTGTAAATGAGTTTAAATAGATAGGATTTTTTTCAACAAATATCAATAACTGACAGTCTAATTCCAGTAGACTCACTACCATGCAGCAGTGCAAGCACACCATAACATGTGGTCAAGTGGTCAGCCTAAAATGTCTTCATATACACGTTTTGAAAACCGTTGTCCTCCCTGACTAATGCCTAAAATGTTTTCTATTCATTGAATATGAGTCCAGAGACAAGGTAAATATTTGTTTATGGAGAAGATGGCGATGTTCAATGGCATTCTTGTGATAAAAGAAGGTCAGCTATCTGAGAACTGATGTAACATTCAGGCTGAACATACTGAACAAACAATGTAAACATACTAGAATGCCGCCACACACAATCGGCTTCAAGTTACACAAGACAGACAGTGGTTAGAGTGGACATGTATGATATAGTGGTATCATCCTGTGTATAAAGGGGATAGCTGGGAATTGGATAAGAGAAACTCAATTTACATTTGAAGATGGTTGTAGGGTATCAATATAATAAAGGATGGAGAGATGCCGTATGTAACTGATTATCAGTCTAAAAACTATAAATGAGACTGGCTTAGTGGAACGATGATATCTGTATAAAATAGGGATGGTATGATGATATCCATTGACCGATTAACTTACAGTCAGTGAGTATTGTGGAATTACAGAATAGAAAAGGAATAGAATAGAAACCTCAGAGAGGATCATACAGTTCGGCCCACAACTTGGGTTGATATGGCTGACTGAATTTACAGCTACGTCCAGTGTCAACCTACTGTGACACATGGTATACCTCTACATCTAACCCTTGTGACACAACTTAACAATAGCCAAAACATCACACAGCATGACATCCACAGACACAGTTGATGTAGACCAGTAATACCAGAATGGTCTTGTCTTGGGACTGATGTGGAAGCCTTCCCATGTTGACCAATCACCAGCTAACAATGTGGCTACCTCCTCCATCCCCTTTGACAAGTAGTAACAAAATGCAATCCATGCAGATTTTGTGCAAATAGCCCTATTATATGGCAGGTACAGAGTGAACTATACATAGAACCAGCATTTGTTCAGTTACATAGTTTCCGCTTTGAACTTGGGTTACGAGTTGAGTAAAACAAACTCCACTTTTGTGCCTGAGTGGCAGGCTACTACCTTTGAGTATGGCCATAGCTGAGGCCAAGACGAACATTGTTTTATATCAAGGTATTAACCAATGTCATATTAACCATGTTAATGTCAGAATCCCAGAAGGAAAAGCCCCCTTTTCGTCCTGGAGGTATCACCACAGAGTACAGTAGTTCACCAAAAAGGTTAGGACATCCACTCTGACTATTTAATTGAAGAACAAATGATAAAAGCCTGGGATCTGAACTTTGACAATGTTTTAATTCAAGCTGTAACAGGAGTTCAGCACAATCCAAAACCATGGATATCTTTGCTGTTGCATTCTCATGTTCTTGTGTCAGGAGCCAGAGGCCCAAAAGGTTATGAAGACTAGTCTTTTTAGGAACCTGCCCGACAGTCTCTAAATGTGAAGGTCAAACACTGCTGGATTATTACAAAAATCAGGCAGGCAGAGGGAGTCAAGAGGTCCTTTTCCACATGGAGACAAAACGGACATCTAGACCACATCCAGCAGAGCAGGGAAGTAAGGGTGAGCTGCATATGAAATCAGCCCAGTGCAGGTTGGTGGAAGGCTGAAAAGTATCTGACCAGTGATCATGACCATCCAGTTTAGCAATAACATGAATGTGAAGTATGCAACACCTAATTAATCAAAGTCTGCAGAGAGAATTAGCATGCAGGTCCAGATAAGACATCTCCCCTGTAGGAACAAGCCTCAAATTGACATCTCAGATGCTGTATCATAGGTTACCACAGAGCTGTCTGATGTTGCAGACTAGTCAAGTTTCTGACACATGCAGGGAGAACATCTCCTCTCCATATTTACGTCCTTGTCAGCTAGGTGTGGTGCTAACGTGTCCACCATCAAAGCTGTGGGCAAACAGGCTCATTATCCAAGTATCCATGAACAGGTGAAAAAAAACCCTTCCTGGTACACTGGCTAGGATATAACTCACTAAATGATATAAGTAAACTGTACACACAGTTAAAAGTAAAAAATAATCATAAAGTAAAACGATATTGGTAATGAACATTGGTAATGGATAGTGTTACTCTGGTCCTTGAAGTTCAAAGCTTCATATAGTGCACAAGCTTCAATGTGAGTGACAATAAAGTCTCCTTCTGAGAAAAATATCCCCATACAAAAGTTGGAGATTAATTTTTAAGATACCTCCACAATGATCAAGTGTCATCATCCTCTATCAAGAATAGGCTATGTATGTCAAATTCAGCAAATGAAAGATCACTGAACAGATGCTGTGGCAAGTGGTCAAGAGAGTTGACCATTTGACGGTTATCAGATATACCTATGTCAAGGAGGACAATAGGCAACACACCACACAATACCTGGCCTCCAGACGAGGGTATCACTGTCCAATTGGGCGGTAGTGTTAAGTCCCTTCAATTTCACAGCTATTGGCCTCATAGTCCTTAGAAATTTGTTTAACCCCTTATATTGTTAAGCTGTCCTCACCAGTTCACTGATTTAACTGAAGTGAAGGAAGGACATGTGTTAACCCTTTAGACTGTGTCACTGATACTATCATTGTAACAATGCTCTTTAATCCACATTCACTATGGAAACAAACTGTGAATAAGGCCCATAATCCACACTACTCTGTAATTTACTTTACTTTAATAGTTCTGTATGGTATTAGATTTCAACACAAACTTAGATAATTTT